CGCGACACCCAGTTCTTGCCTACAGGTGGAGGAGGTGGATCTTGGCCGCGGGCTGCGAGTAGAGCGTCTGCCATGCGTCGTACATTAATTATATAGGGTGGAAAGCCTCGTTGATTAAGGTCTAGGATCCACTGCACGAGAGACTGCTCTTCAGTAGTTGATAGCTTTCGGTTGACAGAGACTATCTCTGATCGCGGGTGGACACCACGGAGACGCGTCCGGAGAGTAGATTCTAGTACGTCATACGCTCTCGCAAGGGCTCAGATTGATTGGCATGGTTTATTCTAATAGGAGACCATCGCGAGACTTAGTCTACCTTCACGAGATGTCACCTTAGGCCGTGGTTGTTGAGTCATGGTCGTTGGCGCAGATAGAGTTGTGAGGATTTGGTGGGGTGCGCAGCTTACTGGGGTGCGCAGCTTACTAGTGGAACACAGTAATAAGCAGCCTTACTCAGCACTAACAGCGGCTCAAACTGAATATAAATAAAGTTGCCTGTGCTCCGCACAAACCCATCACTTGAGCACTGATTATAAGTTCGACAACTGGGCTCCAGGAGCCGAGCATATGATCACATACGCCATCCAGTTTCCAAAGGCTTATGCAGAAGATAACAAAGGTGAGCGTTGTACATAATGTTCCATGGTCGAGATATTAATTCATTGTATCCTTTTAGGTTTCCTCCGTGTTTTCTACGCAGCTACCATGCCGAGTGGGTAGGCTTACCTAACGGCCGACGCCGCAAAGACGTTACGAAGGAGTTACTTCGTACTCGGCACCTTGTCAGGTGACACTGAATTTTGTTGAATGAAAATAAAAGCTCACGGCCCTACTCATAGAATCAGCGCGTCAGCTAAGAACACACTCCATCTGTCATCAATATCACCTCAATATGTTGGACCAAGTAAAAAGCCGAAATTGGAAACGAGCTCTTCTTTCGACACCGAAGACTTTCCTATTATTGATGAGCATGTTCTGGTGCTCAAGATCTTGACCCGGCTTAAAGTTTGCGCATAGGTACCTGATGTCGCGATTGCAAACTGAACCGCCTACGTACACAAGCGCCTACGACCCGCGCTCAACGGGCAGAATGATACAACAACGTGCCCCCAAATAAACAAAAAACTATCTGTTGGACAGGACCTTTGGCTTGGACGTCTCTGTAACACTATCAACGACGTCAGAGTTGGTATCATGAGCTTATTCAGGAGCAGGCTGACGCGTTGTCAGCGGAGATACACGAATGAAGGTGACCCCCCGAACGTAGGCGTCAACTGGGTATCTCTCTAGCCTAATTCTCATTAAACACACTACAAGACAAAGTGAGAATCATGGACTTGGCTCGTTAACTTGCGTAGTCACTAGACATCTTCTAGCCTAGTTTAAGCTAAATCTATGAGAAGAACGTCTTCGTATCACCAACGCGGACAAATACAATCTAGATAAAACAAGAATACAAACTGGTGTTGCGAAGGAATGCTACATTTACACAAAACGTGGACGAACCTTTCTTATCCCTACTACTACGAGTAGAGAGCTTATTTCTCTTGTTGAGTGCTGCTTCGCTGATAGCCGCGTAATTACTCTTATGATCATGACTAAGACGAAGTTAGCAATGGAGCAGTACGCGGTCGTATTTCTGAACGATTACCTTATTCATGTCACTAAAAACTGCGATGCTAATAACTTCGCGGCCCTGTATTGGGTGAAATACTGAGATAAAGTGATGGAGGGCGCCTCAGGCGCGTGGCAATTCCTCGTTGTTAACAGCCATGGACTTCCCCTCACTGCAAAGTCTTCAATGAACGCCGGAAACAAACATATACCGCTCAACTCCACACAATACTCATAAACCCCAGCCTCTTGAAGTTGGTTATTTTCAGCCTCTGGAATGATATCCTGCCAGGATACTTGACCAAGCCTCTCGGACAAGCGCCACTGATATCGATCGCTCATATTTCCGAGCAACTCTCTTACAGACTCGAGAAAAGGCGTCAATGCCTCGCATGATTGAGGGAGGCTAGTGTACACTAAAAATGATACATACGCTTATTTTGCAAGAGAAATAAATATACTGGTATTACACGATGAGAGCTGATACCACGCTAGAAAGGTAGTATATCAGTGGCTCGCAACGCAGCGGCTTTAGAGTAAGCTCTCTACTGATTCATGCTGCTGAGCACACCTATGCCAAGCTTTTTAGGTATAGCCAGCATGTACTAAATACCATTAGATGTCCAAAATAGGGTGGAAACTGTAGTACGATGTGGGCCAAAGAGGAGAGATTCTTGTCATCGCCCGCGAGCAAAAGTTAAAAGAAGGAAGACTTGTTAAAGCTAAAATCTGAACGGTGTGGACTAATATTCTTGAGTCCTTTGTCACTATATATTTTCTAGAATGTGAACGTCGACCCCCATACAGCGACCAGCCCCTTCCTACACACCCACGCGCCATACTGCGGCGCATCGCTCACCCAGCCAGGTAACCTGCGGCAAGCACTCAAAGACGCACAAGCCGACGCAAGTAAAGATCGTGTGCCCATGTGCCCAAGGACAACGAACTCCGTCTCACGATTTGCACTTGACGCCAGATGCATGGGGCATTACTATTCCGCATGTCCTTAGAGACGGTGCAGGAAATTGGGGATTTTATAAAACAAAAACGTTTGTTAAAAGTTCGGTTGCGTCTTTCTCTCTCTCCCCACTCTCCTTTTCTGTTTGCCCCTCGTTTCACTCGTTGTACTCCCGTGTTATACCCCCCATTTTCCTCAACACTCTTGCTTTTGCACGGGAAAATCCACCGTTAACCCCATGCTTGAACCTCAGCAGGAAGGAAAAAGGGTTACATGTCCTTCTCCCCCCTGGATCATGACACCCGGCTGCACGCAAATCGCTGTATCCCAACGGCCCTTACAACGTCACCACGGGCAAACAACCATGTGTGCATCATACCGCAGATCGAGTCGCTCAGAGGCATTGACAACGCAAAGCAGATTTGCGGCGCTGCAGGGTTATTTCCGGGCTGGTGTCTGGGGCCGGGCGACTTTATAATTGATGTGGGTATTGACTTGGGGGGTGTTTGTGGGAGGGGAATCTTGATGCGAGGTTGTTTTTGGAGGCAATGGGCCGGTTTAATGCTGCGGCGACAAAGTATCATATACCGATATTCGGGGAAGTTTTGTTTGTTTTTCTTAACCTCCTTTCTCAAGTAAGAGTAAGAGAGAGTCTTTTTTTGCTAATACATGATTCGGGGTGTCGGCAGCGGTGTCCTCGGAATCAACCAGATTCCCATGGCGATTCAATCCAGCTTGCGCACTATAGTCGTTGAGTTTGACATCTGGGGCTTTACAAGCTTAATGGAGGGTTCGCTGGAGCAAGGCTGAAAGTATGCAAAGGGGTTTGAGAGCACTCCGAAGCCGAGCTTGACGAATGGAAAGGGGAAGGAGGGAGCTGAGAAGGGGTTAATGGGGAGTAAGATGCCTAGCTGTGTGTAGAGAGAGACAAGTGGGTTGCAACTCCCAACTGAGAGTAATATCACAACATGTTATTGTAGTGGCGCAGCATGTCGGGACGTTGGCACTTGGTGAGATAGCATGCACAAAGATGCGACAGTGAGCATAGCCCCCGAATGTTCCGTGTGCAACATCTCTAAGGTAGTGGCAAACTTTCCGCCTCGCAAGGCAGAGGCGTGTAAGCTAGCGTAGCAGCAGGCGCAATAACAGTAATTGATCCTCTTTTACCCGTAAGGCGCCCGGTCGATCACCGCCCCTTGAGGCTGTGTACGCGCTTGGCAGACTGAACATTGCCAATCAATCCTGGAGTATGACGGAGTGATTTCGAGGAGCGGCTCTTGTTTGTAGGCCTGAAATAGATTTAAAATCGTTTGTATAAGTACGTGTCTCGCTGGTAGCACGGGCAAGAGTATTGACTCTTGCAATAATTTTATGCACCGTTTGGGCAAATACACTAGAGCACCAAGGTGCATAGCAAGACGAGTTATAGTCCGAGGCCATGTCGTTCCCAACAGATATCTCGTCCAACGGTCCCAGTAGCGATTTTCGTCAGTAAATCTTGCTCTCTGGGTCGAACGCACATCGCTGACTGGGATGTAGAAGAAACTTCGGATAAGATGCGAGATGATTTCAGTAAGTAGTTGTCATGAGCGACCCATTCTCAAACACTAACGAAACTTTGTTTAGACAGCGCAGTAGACAACCAACAGAGGACGATTGCGATCGGGGTCGGAGTCGGAGTCGGCGTGTTCGTTCTCTTCGTCGCCATAGCCATGTTTTTGTTTTGGCGACACAGCAAGAAGCGCAAACAGCGACTGAATGAAAATGCGAAGCGGATAAATGAACAGACGCAGTTCGCCGGGCAACCGAATCCTTACCATGCAAATGGACATCCGGCATATGGACAGCAAGCATGGGCACCCAAGGCTGAGATGGACGGACAAGGCAGGTCTGGCCAGTACCAAGAAATGAACGCGCACACGGCAAATTCGCCTTACCAGAGCGGTCAGGTGGTGGAAGCAGAGGCAAAACCGGATGCGCAGGAGATGCCTGCGGGCTACAGGCAATAGCAGCCATGGGATATGCCGACCGGAGGTAGAACGGGTCAGCGAACGGCAACCAAGGACGCGCGTTAGCACGACCATGTGGTTCAGGTGCCACACGTAATGACGGATGACAAGTGCAAATCTCCGACAGCCGAGCGTCCGTCAAGTGTACCAAGGTTGCCATGGTAAAGTACAGGTTCTAGGCGTACGCTATGCGTATATGGTGCACGGGCCACCCCAGCCATCGCCAACCACCACATTTCCAACCTGCAAGTACACAACATGTTAGCGATTAAGGTTCTCTTAAACGAATACCTACTTGGACATTTTTGCAGCGATCAGTCGCAGCACTAACCACCGTTGAATCCGTGTTCGGCACCTTTTCACGACTATCAGCCCGTCAATACACCATCCTGCATCCATCACCACCATGCTTTTCCACATTCAGACTTTGACGATCGCGTCTCTTTTCTCAACGTTAGCCACCAGCCGGCCCTTTGGTCCTGCGGGCTTGCGTCCTATGGTCCCCCGGGGCAAGAGTTATGCGGTGGTCAACGTGGGTGGAGACTCGCCCACGGCGCCTCCACCAGCGACTTCGATAGTCAAGATGACAACGACGGTCGAGGTTGTTCAGCCCGGAAAGACGATCACAAAAGAGGTCACCGCGACCGTCGTCGAGCCATACCCGGTGGCTGCACCTACCTCATGCTCAAACTCAAGCAGCATATCGATGTCGTCAAGTTCGGCCTCGTCTTCGGCTCCTTCTCCTTCAACGCCTTGCACAACGCCTTTGCCAACACCCACCAGTGCCCCGGCGGGGTCACCAGCGCAAAACATATCAACGCCAATCGAGACGCCCAAGCCAATCATCGTTACCGTCACCGTTTCGGAGGATGGCCCTACGCAGTACTACGACAATGGCATGTGGCATACCTACTACGAGATCAAGACGTTCGATGGTGGCGCAGCATCGTAGCCGGCGGCATAGTCGTCATTCATTCATGTGTTTCTTCTTCTCTTTTATGTGGGCGGTAAACTGGTTCACTCGTCTGTTTTCTGTTCCTGGACGGCGTATAATGATGAACGAGTAATGGTCGGATGTATTGTATACAGGCTACCTAGAGCCATGAAGCGGCATGTGGGCGGCGTTTTTGGCGTGACTGCAGCGATAGTACGTAGGTAGCTAGGCGTGTGTTCCGGGCGTTGTGCATGAATGAATCAATGGCTGGGTTCGTCGGAATCGACGGTAGAGAGCATGAACAAGGCAATATGCGTGCAGGCAGCGTGATGGCGGGGAAGGCGGCGATGGCAACAGCGGGCGAGGATGGCGATGGTGATGACGCAGGGCGAAGGAGAAGGGCGCATCGCATCCCTGCTCGCTTGGCAACGGGAACGGTGACCTACGCCCAAGGCGGCGGCGGTGCCTATCCACGACGAAGCTCTCCACCACCCCGGCCGACCCGCTCCTCACGCACACAATGGCGTCGCCGCCCCCCGTCGAAGACCAGGCCCGGCTGCTCGAAGATGCCCTCGCCGTGGTGCGCCAGCAGACGATGCTCATGCGGCGCTGTCTCGAGACGCCGGGCAAGCTGATGGATGCGCTCAAGTGCAGGTACGCGCATGGCTCACGATGATGACGATAATGATGGGGATGACGACGACGACGATGAGGATGACACTGCAGCGCACGGCGCAACTGCTACAGACGAGTGCTAACCACGCCGTGTGCGCAGCTCGACGCTCGTTTCGGAACTGCGCACCAGCAGCCTGGGCCCCAAGCAGTACTACGAGCTGTACATGGCCGTCTTCGATGCCCTCCGCCACCTGGCCGTCTACCTGCGCGAGAACCACCCCGTGAACCACCTGGCCGACCTGTACGAGCTGGTCCAGTATGCCGGCAACATCATCCCCCGCCTCTACCTCATGGTCACCGTCGGCACCGTCTACATGGCCATTGAGGATGCGCCCGTCAAGGAGATCATGAAGGACATGATGGAGATGAGTCGCGGCGTCCAGCACCCCATCCGCGGCCTGTTCCTGCGCTACTATCTCGCCGGCCAGGCCCGCGACCACCTGCCCTCGGGCGACAGCGACGGCCCCGAGGGCAATCTGCAGGACTCCATCAGCTTCATCCTCACCAACTTTGTCGAGATGAACAAGCTGTGGGTGCGCCTGCAGCACCAGGGCCATTCGCGCGAGCGCGAGCAGCGCACCAAGGAGCGCCAGGAGCTGCAGCTGCTCGTCGGCAGCAACCTGGTCCGCCTGAGCCAGCTGGTCGACCTGGACAACTACAAGAAGATCCTGAACCCGCTGCTCGAGCAGATTGTGCAGTGCCGCGATGTCCTGGCCCAGGAGTATCTGCTCGAAGGTATGCCGTCACCCCAAGCCAGCTGAGACTTGGCTAACGAGCACCAGTCGTCACACAGGTCTTCCCCGACGAGTTCCACCTGCACACCCTCGACCAATTCCTCTCTGCTGTCGCACGGCTAAACCCGCATGTCAACATCAAAGCCATTGTCGTCGGCCTCATGGACCGCCTGTCGTCGTATGCGCAAAGAGAGGCCGAGTCAGAAAGCCCAGAACAGCGCCAAAAGACCGAGGAAGAGTCGATAGCACATCTCATGGAGCAGATGCGGATAGCAAAAGAGAAGAAGGCCGCCGAACCGGAGTCTGCGCCAGCCGGGCAGAACGGCGACTCTTCAGAAGGCATAGAAGCGGAGCCGTCTGCGGAAGATGGAGCACAAGATTCGTCAACTCCAGCAGAGGCTCCAGCAGAGAACTCGACAGCCGAGGCGGATGGCGACACTGAAAAGAAACGGGGCATACCGAACAATGTCAAGCTTTTCGAAATATTCAACGAGCAGGTGCAGACGCTGGTCAAGATGCAGCGGTTGCCAATACAAGACACCATTGGACTGCTAGTGTCGCTGGCAAACCTCGCATTGTAGGTTTCTCATTTCTCTTGATTGGCATCCACTAACTTTGACAGGAACATTTACCCTGAACGCCTCGACTATATTGACCAAGTCCTCACATTTGCAAACCAAAAAGTGGCCGAATACCAGAACAGCGCAGATCTCCACTCGCAAGCTACCCAGAGCCAGATTCTCAGTCTCCTTCTCTCGCCAATCAAGACCTACATCTCTCTCTTCACCGCACTCGCATTACCAAACTTCATCCCTCTGCTGCATTCACAACCGTACCCGACCCGAAGAGCTGTGGCTGGTGAGGTCGCAAGAAGTCTGATGCGAAACCAAACTTCGATTGCGACAGTGGAGAATCTCGAAAGCGTGTTAGAGATCTTGAAGGTCCTAATTAGAGAAGGCATACAACAAGCGCAAGGATACCCAGGTGGACCGATCCAAAGAAGGGCCCAAGAAACAGAGGAGACAATAGAAGAGCAGGGCTGGCTCGCGCGGATAGTACACCTCATCCACGGCAAAGACAACGACACACAGTTCAAGGTAGATTCAGCCAACACCCCCTCATCACAACGACTAACACTGCTTGTAGCTCCTGCAGACTGCGCGAAAGGCCTTTGCCGACGGCAACGAGCGTGTCAAGTACACATCCCCAGCCATCATTACAGCATCGCTCAAGCTTGCGAGACAGTACAAGAAGCGCGAGCATTTCGAAGACAACTGGCAATCGCAGTCCTCGGCTCTCTACAAGTTCATGCACAACACCCTATCGACGCTGTACACTCGTGTCACAGGCTCCGCAGATCTCTCCCTCCGTTTGTTCGTTGCCTGTGGCCAGGTCGCAGACCAGAGCGGCTTCGAAGAGGTCGCATACGAATTTTTTGCCCAAGCCTTCACAATCTACGAAGAAGCGATTAGCGATTCAAGAGCACAGTTCCAGGCTGTATGCGTCATTGCAAGCGGCTTGCACACTACGCGAAATTTTGGAAAGGAGAATTACGACACCCTAATCACCAAGTGCGCATTACATGGCAGCAAGTTGCTGAAGAAGCCAGACCAGTGCCGTGCAGTGTACCTTGCAAGTCATCTATGGTGGGCGACTGAGATTCGCGCGCTTGGCGAAGAGGACCCTAAGGATGTGAGTATTTCTGGTTGTCTTATGGCACTAGTACTAACGAATTTAGCTCTACCGCGACGGGAAGCGCGTACTCGAGTGTCTGCAACGAGCACTCCGTGTCGCCGACGCCTGCATGGACGCCGCCGTGTCGGTCGAACTATTCGTCGAGATACTGAACCGATACGTATACTACTTTGACCAAGAGAACGAGGCCGTAAGTCCGCCCATGTTTCCATGTTCACAGCCACCACTAATGAGCACAGGTCACCACCAAATACCTCAACGGACTGATTGAACTCATCCACTCAAATCTTCAGTCCAACGAAAACGCCTCGTCTCTGGAAAACCCACGCAAGCACTTCGAGCGTACACTGGATTACATAGCGAGTCGAGAGTATGAGGGCGTAGTCACAACACCAAAGTAGCAGTAATACGGGCAGAGACATGAGTATGAGTGCATGCGATAGTTGAGCCGCGGGTAAGAAGCGATGGACGTGCCGTAGTTACTTGTATCAATTAACAGGACTAGGGGCGGATGCGGATGGACATGCGGATGGACATGGAGAGGTGGACGTGGACGTGGACGTAAGCAGATAACAAGACGAAACTGTGTACCTTTGTATGCAGCCTCGCGTACAAAACCGCTACGGTTGTAATGAAAAGACGGATACTGTGCACATGCTTTTTTTTGTCGATGCCTTGATCAGTCTCTCATGAGTGATGTACACACACATGTACTTTTCAAAAACCGCACTGTCCGTCCCCTTTTAACATCCCATTCATGTTACCATGGCCCTAGGAGCCATTCTGCATCAGCATTCCCACAGAGGTAGAGGTCGTGATGTATATACAGAGGGGTGACACGAAAAAAACGTCACTCAAAAAGTTGTTATTTTAAAACTTTAATATATAGCTGGAAAAAATAGCTAAAAATAAACGGATTGCAGATCTAAAGCCAAGATCTCCTAGTTTGGCATAGTGGACCCACTATCTGCTTAGTCAGCAGCCCTGAGCGAACAAAAATCCCCAAACTAGAAGCTTGAATAAATCTAAACTAAATATCTAGATTAACGTGGTTCATAAGCGAGCGGACACCCCAAGCGAGCGGACACCTCCCCACCAGCGCGTCAACTTTAACACGTTATCACAGCCTTTTATCACAGTCAATAAACTATTGCAATATACTAAATTAATTATCAGAATCGCTATTATCACTTGCACTATCTATCTCAACTACGCAGGTACGAGCGTTGTGTCCAGTCTGCTTGCAACGCCCGCACCGCCGCTCTCCTCGCACCCTCTTCGACGCACTCTCACCATCACCACGACTGCTACCCGCCTGTTTAGCTAATACTTCTTGTACTTCGCCTACAGTAAGAGTCTCTTCTGTCCGTACGTATCGCCGCTTGCGGCTTTTACGCTTATTTAACTCGTCAAGAGCCGCTCGAAGCGTACCCATTTCCTCCATCATAAGCGTCATTTTATGTGCCATTTGCTGGGCCCCCTTACTCAGCTGCGCGATCTGCTCAGTGAGTGAATTGGCAGAAGATCCACGGCGTTTTCTCACGCTCTCTTGAATGAGACTAATTTGAGACTCAACTTCGCGCGCGTTGCGTGGTGTCTGCGCCTGCCAGGCAGCTACCCGTCGTGGTGATTGACGAGGTGTCTGCACCACTACATCAAGCTTAGATAGCACAGCCTGTGGGTCGTGTGGGACTAGACCAGCACCTCTGAAGCCAGCTTGGATATTCTCCTTCGTGATAGACTGCTCAAAAGCAGCCTTAAAGGCTGGTAGGAAGGTTTCCTTGCTAATATAGTGGGTGCGGTTGCGTGCCAAGCCTGAAACAGCGTCGCCATACTTGCGCTTCAATGGCGAGAAGCAGGCGACGTCAAGGGGCTGCAACAGGTGAGACGAGTGTGGAGGCATGCAGAGAAGAATAATATTCTTCTCCTTGCAAAGATCTTGAAAATCGATGGAGCAGTGGCTCTCATGGCCGTCAATAATAAGTAGTCGATACCCACCTACAGTAGAGCTCTTTGTATGGGTATTAAAGTGCTCTAACTAGGCAAGACTAAGCTAATTATTCGTCCAGCTATTGGGACTAACTTTAAGAACCTAGTTGGCAGGCAAATCCTTAAACCAGACGTTAATAAGCACCTTGCCCGCAAAGACAACAAAGGGTGGTATCCAGCGACCTAATGCGCCCACGCCTTGGATCACAGTAACCCACTCGCGGTTGCCTGGCTGTATC